TGTTGGGGGAAGGTAAGACTGTACACCTCCAGATGTAAATATAAGTCTGGTACATGGAGATCTCGGAATTAGAGATAAACAACTGAGAATATATATCATCTTTCAAGAGGAAAAGCAATGTTACACAAGAAGACCAGTTTTTTACAATCTCAAGTACCAACTTAATTCACTTACTGGTCTATAACTACCTCTGCAATTATATAATCACAGAACTGAAGGTCTGCTTTTAGAGTACAACTTCGCCATCTGGTGGCAAAAATAATGAATACAGGTTTATATAGTCATCATTTCAAAAGTTGTAAGGAAGGACCCCTTGTCATTTGACTTACAGTGTAGTTTCCAACAATGTATTATGGGGAAAGAGTATTTCATTTTCCATTTCTATCATAACTATTGTACTATTTCTCTTTTCCTTTTCACTCTGGCCACTAATATATATAGCTATAAAACTAGAAGAAGTATTGTTAAAAATAAATCTTCCCACTCACCAAGGCCTTCCCACTTCTTCAAAATGTACTCATTGCATAATCCAATACATACCACAATGTAGATTGCAGTTAAGTAACTATGAAATTAAATGTATTAGTAAAATTCATGTTGTCAAATTTCTTGCTTTCAACAACTAATAGCTGAGTTTGCTTAAATAACGGAAATGGGATTTTTTTGAAACTAGATATAAGCTTTGAACAGACTGGTCAAAAGAACAATACAGAACATCTATAAATATACCCTAACATATAATAATCAATATATACAATTAGAATGGCATCTCAAATCAGTAGGAAGAAAAGATTGCTCACTCAATAAATATGGTGGAACAAGGGCTAAGCATGTATAAACTATAATAAATGGGATGTGGGTAAGTAGTTTATAATAAAGTATCCTATACAATAAAGAACTAATATGCTAATTAGACCCAACAGCGGAACGACCTTCCAGATGACCTTCTGGACGAAGCAGGGACTGCGAGGGCACAAATTCCGCGCGTCAGGCCTCTAGTATTTAAATAAGTAAATACTTAGGCATTTACTATATATCATAACAAAGGAGCCAGATGCTTGCAGCTATATGAATGTATTCCACCTGCCACCAGGTAGCTGGTTCCACCTCTGTCCCCCACTAAATAAATGTAGACTCATCTGTGGAATTATGTTGCCTCTAAGAACCACAAAATTTCACTGTGTTATGGCTCTCAGGGATAGTGCTACAGAGGTCAACTGCCACTAAGCTGGGAAAGGCCAGGGGTGCTTCCCTCCCTAATGTATTTTGAGATGCCTCCGTGCCTTGCTTCTAGTCGGCACTAGCAGTATTGACATCACTTAGAAGCTAGTTAGAAACACAGACTGTCGGGCCTCCCTCAGACCTACCAAATTCAAATCTTTATTTTAATTAGATCGCCAGGTTATGCATGTAATTTAAAGGCTAAGAAGCCACGAGGCACTCATGGTAGACATTGTAAGGGTAAGCAAATTGCACATTCAAAATAATTTTGAAATAAAAAAGAACACTTGAAAATATCTAACAATATTTTGCATTTAAGTTGATAATAAACACTTGCCATTTTTATGAATAAATGAACTAAGCAAATATTCATTAACTCAAAGCTAAGGTCTTGGGTCAAGTTGATATGTTAACTCAATTAATTCTAACTGTCTATGAGGAAAGCACCTGTAGAACTAAAAAGTCAGAAATAGGTCAAAACTACTGTAGCAGGTAGTTAAAAAATTAAACTAAATCTCCTTAAAATTAAGAAACATAACATACTTTTCTATTTCTCAATTATAGTTCTAGGTCCATAAAGATTTAAATTTAATTGAACCAAAGCTTCTCTTTTTGAGGGCACTAAAATGGTTTTTCAATGGTACTGAAGAAACAAATTAGTAGTAATACTTTAAATTGGAGTTATATTCCTTATCAGTAGTTCCATTTCACTGTCCAACTTAAATTCTCCTAGAAGACCAATTCTGGTAAGAAGGAAGAGAGAGAGAAATGAAGACAAAAAGAGAGGGAGGAAGAAAGAGATGTGGAGAGAGGAGGGGAGGAAGCAGAGAGGAGGAGGAGGGACAAGGAAGAGGGAGGGGAATAAATAGGCTTAACTGAAACGATTTAAATAGTAACACACACACACACACACACACACAAAAATTGAGTAAAGAAAAAAGAAATTTCAACAGCATTAAAATAACTACTGCTCAGCCAGTGTGGCTCAGTTGATTGCGCATAGTCCCATCCACCAGGAGGGCGCTAGTTAGATTCCAGGCCAGGGTACATGCCCAGGGTGTGGGCTCGATTGCCAGTGTGGAGGTAGCTAAGGAATGATTCTCTCTCATCATTGATGTTTCTATCTCTCTCCCTCTCCCTTCCTCTCCTTCTAAAATCAATAAAAAGTAATTTTAAAATAATAATAAATAAAATAAATAACTACTTACTCTCTAAGGCAGGATGTGGCAACCTTTTCTATAAAGAGTCAGAGAGTAAATATTTTAGGTTATGAGAACCATTTGGCCTCTTATAGCTAATACTCAACTCTGGAGTTGTAGCTGAGTCTATGTAGCCATGGACAATAAGTAAATAAATAGTTGTGGCTGTGTTCCAATAAAACTTTATTTACAAAAACACAGGGGGGCAAGCCAGATAGAGCCCCAGGAACATAGTTTGTAGACCCCTTGCTCCAGGGGAAAGAATTCAAAGGGTTTGTAGGTACATGCCTAATAAACTACTATGGAATCTGCATTTAAAATAATAAAACAAATGCTCTTTTTGTTTATAGTAAGGGGATTGAATTATTCTGAAAGAAAAAGTATCTTCCAGAAGTCTATATAAATTATAACCAATTCCATTTTCTAGGTGTAACTTCCAAATTAGATATTAAACTCTAACTCCTTCCCTGACTAGAAGTATTTCTTATAAACAAGCAGAGCTGTTGGTTTTACTTATGTGAGCTTCAGAAAGAAAGAACATGGCCCAGCTGGTGTGGCTCAGTGGTTGAGCATCGACCTATGAACCAGGAGGTCATGGTTGGATTCCCAGTCAGGGTACATGCCCAGGTTGCAGGCTCAATCCCCAGTGTGGGGCATGCAGGAGGCAGCTAATCAATGATTCTCTCTCACCGTTGATGTTTCTAAGCCTCTCTCCATTCCTCTCTGAAGTCAATAAAAATGTATTTAGAAAAAGAAAGGAAGGACATAATTATAGAATACATTGAGTCATTAAAGTATGCATCTATTAGTAATGGCAGCCAGGGGCAGTAGGCAAAAAGAAAAGAAAAAAGTAACTACATCTTGCTTCTTCACAATGGGTTGAATTGTACTGTTTATTCAGGCCAGTACTGTGTCAAAGAAACAAGCATTAAGAGATAATATTGGAGGATATATATTTGTTCTTAATACCACATTCTTCAAAGATTGGTGCTATATTTCTACTGTCCTACAATGATGAATTAATTACTCATAAATTCGTTGGACTTGTTTTTAACATCCACAACTTCCTAATGATACGCATTCTAAAGCTTTAAAAACTATTATGTGACCCAGTATTTTAGAGTTTCCTTTTAGTCTTCCTAAACCTACCTTTCCATCCTCCAAAGGAGATGATCGAGTGTAGCTATCCTATTTTGAAGAATGAGCCAATGTTATCTATTTTATGAAGTCATTCATTTAACTGGTTAACATCATTTTCTTCCTCTAAGCTCATATGCCTTGGCCATTATGGCTGCCACTTTACAGAGACTGCTACTGTCCCAACCAGCACTGCTTCATCATTCACCATTCCCTACAGAGACACTTCTTGTTATTATATTTGTAATACAGAAACATGCTTGGCCAGAGAGTTAACAAGCCCCGCCCCCCTCCTGAGGAACAGACCTAGGCCAATCACAACGGAGAACTGTGGGTAAATGCCCTAGCCTCCTAGCCCATCATGTGGAATAACTCTGAGGTCATGATACCCTGTCTCCAAGAAGTCCCAGTAAGACTGAGACTCCATCGCCAGGAGGTGTAATCTGCTTTCATGCCCTCCCAGTATTGTGTTCTCTCTCTTCATTGGATCATTTTCCACTCCCCTACACAGGTGGTTTCAGACATTGCCACCCAAATACACGATCTGGCCTCAAACCTGTGTGCGCTCAAGTTCTCAAGCTCAGATGATCTTCCCACCTCGAAATTCTTGGGTTCCTGAGATTCTGCACTGAGATGGGTTTTGGTACCCCAGCCATGAAATCACCATGGCCTTTTCCGAAGACAGAATTACATTGTCTGTTTTACTTTTGCAAAAAAAACAAAACAAAACAAACAAAAAAACAACCAAAAACCTGGTGCATCATCATTTTGTTATTCTTCCAAGACATTAGCAACACATCTGTGTGACGGCTCTTGGCACCATCTGAAGGGACCCCCACTTATCTTCCCTGTTTTAACCCCGTTCAGAACCCACCGCCCTGTAAGTACAATTCACGTTTGTTTTCCCACAAATGCATGACTTCCTATTTGTTCACCCAGAAACGTACCTGCATTCCTGAATAATACATACAGCATAAGCCAGATTTCCTTTTAAAATGTTTAATTAGAAAATAGAAATATGGACTACAAAAACAATCTCCCCTTGCAAATCTTTTCATTCTTCTCCTTCCAAAGGCAGGAAATAGAAGAACCATAAACACCATTTTTAAAAGTCTAACACTTTTGTCAAGGAAAAGACCATAAAATTGAGCCAAAATAGTGATATCAGAGTTAGGCCACGGATAGATCAAATTCATAAAACCCTTTTATCTGTACTTTCTTCTTCATCCTCATTGCTCTTACCCCCGTTTCTCCCCTCTGACAATAACCTCTTATCTACGTTCCCTGTTTTATTTCACTTGTTTTTTTCTGGAAAAACTGACAACCTAACACTCCAAACCTCATCCAACCTCCCACTGTTCACGGCTGAAGTCCTAAGCATCGCTTCTTCCATCATTGACACAAAAACATATGAACATTGACATTCCACGTAGACAACTGGTTGCCTACACATTTCATGTATTTTCATTTTCCGATTGAAATAAAAGGTTAAAAATAATGATGTTTTACCTAAAGATGAAGCAAAATGTTTACCTGTCTGACGCTACGTCACTGGCAATTTGGTGCTTCACTCCTGACCCACTTTTAATAGAATCCTGTCTGGTGAGCCCATGAGATCGACTTTTCTCCGCGGCAGGTACAGATAAGTCACCTGGGGGTCTGTGGAACTGGGCCTGCTCGTGCAGTTTTGCCTTCTTCTCCTGCGGCGCCTCCTCGTTCCGCAGTCCTCGGAGAGCCTTCGGGTCAGGCTGCTGCGGGGGGTTAGGTCCGCTATCATAGAACCAGGCTCCTGACTTAGTGAGGATCTCTTGTTGTTTTCGGCACAAATTGCATACCCACATAACCTGCGCGGGAATACAGAGGGGAAGGAAATGAGTGTTTCCAAAAGCTGTCAACAAACAGAGAGAGAGAGAGAGAGACAATTCAAGTCGACAAGAAAAGTCTATTCTGATTCTTCCTGGAGTTAAAACGTAATCCGGATTGACGGCTGCCATTGGTGAACTCACACGTCCTTTCTTTTTAAAGTTTGCCAGAATAATTCTATGAAATAGATAATGGTTCCTGGCAGTAGAAATGCCAAACAAATCAATAGTTGTTTATTGTATTCTCTATTTTTTTTTTTAAATTTAAATTAGGAGCATCGTGCAGGATATGGAAAATGGATTTTGAGGCTGCACAGATTTGGGGTTAAAGACCAACTCAGAGATTAGAAACTTTGCAAACCTCAACTAAATATTCATATCAATAAAAGTTTCCTAACTGTTAATATATGGATCTAAGGATGATTACAGTAAATTTCCTGTGGTGTTTTGAGAACTGAATATTTAAAATAATTTATATAGAATATACAGATGATGTGTCATAGAATTGTACACTTGAAACCTATGTAATTTTATTAACCAACTAGAGGCCCAGTGCATGAAATTCATGCATGAGCAGGTGTGTCCTTCAGCCCAGCCTGCACCCTCTCTGATCTGGGATCCCTCTAGGGATGTCTGACTGCCCATTTAGCCCTCTCACAATCCAGGACTGCTGGCTCCCAACTGCTCACCTGTCTGCCTTCCTGATTGCCCCTAACTACTTCTGCCTACCAGCCTGATCACCCCCTAACCACACCCCTGCCAGCCTGACTGATGCCTAACTGCTCCCCTGCCAGCCTGCCCCCCCCCCCCCAACTGCCCTTCCCTGCAGGCCCGGTCACCCCCAACTCCCCTCCTCTGCTGGCCTGGCCACCCCTAACTGCCCTCCCCTGCAGGCTTGATCGCCCCCAACTGCCCTCCCTTGCAAGCCTGGTCCCTCCCAACTGCTCTCCCCTGCTGGCCATCTTGTGGTGGCCATCTTATGTCCACATGGGGGCAGTCATCTTTGACCACATGGGGGCAGCCATCTTGTGTGTTGGAGTGATGGTCAATTTGCATATTATTTTTTCGTTAGATATGATAGAGGTCTGGTGCATGGATGGGGGCTGGCTGGTCTGCCCTGAAGGGGGTCCCAAATCAGGGTAGGGGTCCCCTTGAGGCAGGGGGCAGCCTGGACGAGGGGCCTGTGGTAATTTGCAGGCTGGCCACACACCCCGGTGACCCAAGCGGAGGCCCTGGTATCTGGGATTTATTTATCTTCTATAATTGAAATGTTGTAGCCTTGAGCGGAGCCAAGCCTCCTGCTTGCTCTGTGGCCACAGCTATTTTTGTTGGGATTTATTTATCTTCTATAATTGAAACTTTGTAGCCTTAAGCAAAGGCCAAGGCAGGTTAGGACAGGCAAAAAGCTTGGCGTCCTCCATTGCTGGGGAAACCCAAGCCTCCTGCTCTCTCTGTGGCTGCAGCCATCTTGATTGTGTTAATTTGCATACTCACTCCTGATTGGCTGGTGGGCAAGGCTTGTGTGGCGGAGGTGTGGTCAATTTGCATATTACTCTTATTAGACAGTATGTCATCCCAATAAATTTAAGGAAATAAAAATAAAAAATAAATGTCTAACACAATGCCTAATATATGTTGGACTTTCAGTAGATTACTATATTAGTTTATTAAGTTAATCTTCTATCACCAATTATATTATAGGCTTCCTAAGGAGATTTTGTTTCTTTTAAGTAGCTCCTAATATATATATATATATAAAAGCCAAGTGACCAGAACAACCAGAATGACCAGTCACTATGAAGTGCACTGTGGCCAGCTAACCAGCCCGACTGCAGGTGGGGCCGGCTGGCCAACTTCCTGCGGCCTCTTCCCATGGCTGGCCTGGTTCTGACAGACCCTGACTGGGGCAGGCCACCAGATCCCACCCATGCACAAATTCATGCATTGGGCCTCTAGTAGCTAAATAAAGCTAGGAACATTGTTGGTCTTCAATAAAAACCTACTAATTGCTCATAGTTTGTAGTCAGGCATTTTTAGGTGCACAGTGTTAAGTACATTCACACTATTTGTGAAACAGATTTCCAAAACTTGTTCAGTTTGCAACAATAAAAATCTATACCATTTTAAAGCATATCCCCTCTTCTCCCAAACCCAATGCCCTGATAACCACCATTCTACACTTTATTTTTTAATATATATATGCTTTCCAGATTCCAGGAATATCATAAATAACAACTGTATGACCAGAAAATCTTCACCCTCCTCTGAAAAATAATTTTCAATTAATCAAAAAATAAAATAAAATCACATGTTCATAAAATAAAAGGTGAGTTCATATTTCAAGTGAGAGACTCTGATGTTTTATTTATGTCAAATACTTAATTTTACATAACTCTCCATATTGCTAAACATTCCCTTATGTTTAAATAAATTATGATAACATAATCATTAAAAGAAAAATTCAACATAGTATTTTCAACTGATTCAAGGATATTTTTGTAAAATACCATTTAAATTTGTTTAATTGCCCATTATTCCAGTTCATATTGTTTGTGTAATTTCATATTATAGAACATTGTATTTAATCACTTTTATTATTTTGTTCTCTCTTGGATTGTATATACATTTCTTTTTCCCATACTAAAACTTAAAGCTCATTGCAGGCAAGATTAATATCATCTCATGCATAATAAGACCTATAAATCATAGAACAGTAAGACCTTCTACAATTTCTAACTTAAATTTATGTGAAGTCCTTCTGGAGGATACATAATAAAATATTTGATGCTATTTCATTAAGATTTATGTTTCTTAGATTCTTGAAAGAATTAGTCATCAATAATGACAATGTATTTGACTATTTTATTTTTTGTAAGTACAATAAATAAAAAAGTGTTTTACAGGAAAATACTAAAATATCACTCAATTTTTTTAAAAAAAATACATCATAGTTCAGATTTCTTTTGGATTGAATACACATGAAATAAAAATATATCTAACCCATTAATGGTTTCAAAACACAAATTTCAGCCAAAATCTTCAGCCTTTCAATGCCATCTTGTGACAAATTTAGGTACTGCAGATCTTTTTGTAAAAGGGAAAGGTACACATTATATTAGAAGCACAAAATAATGTTCAAATAAATTAGGTTTGGATTTCAACTTTTCTGTTAATTTTAAACAATTACTATTCATGATACAGTGATAATCCATGCTATACAATTCCGTGATATGAATTTATCTAGAATAAATAACACTCAATATTCAAGAATAAGAACCTTTCCTGCCTGGTAATTGACAATGAAAAGGAAATGATGAAAGTTTGGGAGGCAATTAGCCAATCGTGATCATCTGCAGAAACCACCTATCGCTGCTTTATTATTTATCACAAGGTAAGCAGGTAACCTAACCTCTTCTAGAACAAATTCTCAAAGAATATCCCAGGAACAGCAGCCTCAGCATCTCCTGGGAACTTATTAGATGTGCAAACCTACTGAATCAGAAATTCTGAGAGGGACTCAGAAATATGTTTTGGTTTTTGTTTCTTTGTTTGTTTATTTGTTGTAGTTTGGGAGGGGGTTTGCCAAATCCTACAGGTAATTCTGATACTTGATGAAGTTAGAGAACCACTGGTTATGGCAGACATTTCCAGCTCAGTGTGAAGTGAGTTTCAAGTGTGTCCTCAGAGTAGCTAAATAGGTCAACGGAGATCATGATCGGCTTTGCCAATTTACCTCAGTGAACTAGGTAAATCTATTCCTGTGTAGTCCAAAGTGAGAATAAGACCTGGAAATGCTCTGAGCTTTGTTTTCCTCATCTGTTAACACCCAGCGGATAGCAATTCTATACAATAAAAGCCTCGATGGTGTCACAAGAGAGCATCTTCACAAGACGGCGGCCACAAGATGGCCAGCAGGGGAGGGCAGTTGGGGATGATCAGGCCAGCAGGGGAGGGCAGTTGGGGGTGATCAGGCCAGCAGGGGAGGGCAGTTGGGGATGATCAGGCCAGCAGGGGAGGGCAGTTGGGGGTGATCAGGCCAGCAGGAGAGGGCAGTTGGGGATGATCAGGCCAGCAGGGGAGGGCAGTTGGGGATGATCAGGCCAGCAGGGGAGGGCAGTTGGGGGTGACCAGGCCAGTAGGGGAGCAGTTAGGGGATGATCTGGCTGGCAGGCAGAAGCGGTTAGGGACAATCAGGCAGGTGGGCAGGCAGGCAGGTGAGCGGTTAGGAGCCAGCCGTCCCAGATTGTGAGAAGAATGTCCAACTGCTGGTTTAGGGATCGGGCCTAAACTGGCAGTCAAACATCCCTCAAGGGGTCCCAGATTGGAGAGGGTGCAGGCCAGGTAGAGGGACACCCTCCTCCCCCATGCATGAATCTGGTGCACCAGGCCTCTAGTGTAAAATAAATGAGCATAAGGCATGGTATATGATTTGCATTAAAGACTCTCTATGATTAATACTTACTCTTCCCATATGCTCTGGGCTGTCCATATTGGGTGCTCTTTTCCTCATATCCTAACACCCAATTAACTTTGTTTACTTATTTCCTGTCTTTAATGGTTTGTTAATCTTTAAAGCGCAGGAAGCCTGAATCTACCCCAAGCAGTACAAGGGACTGATACTTTCACTTGAAGCACTTATATACATAGCAACTTAACTTATAAATCGACGATACCGAACTATGTCTCACAAATTCCAGCACATACACATGTTCTGAGATGACTTTTCACTAACAGGCTATGAAATAATTAATGCCTATCAGAGGTAAATTATGCATCAAGAGAACAAAATTTAACTTATATGGGGCAAAAACGTCAGGAGTTTTATTAATGGAACTCTTTATTTAACCAACTAAAGGGGGTAATCTAAAGGGGGGGAGGGAAGAAATTCCCCCAACCCAATTTATAAGACTGGAAAGATCTTAATGGCAAACTCAGAAAAAAGACAGTGAATTCGTTTCCTATGACTGAAGTAACAAAATTAC